TTAGGGTGTGTATGTAGGGAGTACCTGTGTGCATGTACATATAGACACCAGAGGTCAACCTGGGATGGCATCCTCAGAGAAACCATCTATCTCCTATGAAACAGAGTCTCTACTGTCCTGTAAGTCACCAATCAGGCTAGCCTGGGTGGCCAGCAAAACATAATCTTCTCTCCACCACATTTCCCAATCCCTCATACTCCCATACACCTGGTGATGGGACTGCACGCATGAACTAATACATCAGGCAGACTTTTATTTGGATTCTACAGATCGAAGTCAGGTCCTCACATCTTCCAGGCAAGGGCTTTACCACCTGAACCACCTTCCCAGCCCTCCCATGTAATATTTTAAAAGAGCTGCATGCTCGTCTTTAATTGGTTTGAATTTACTTCCCATAATTGACTTTGGTTAGATGTGGCAGTGAACACCTGTGACTTAGCTAAGCACCCGGGAAACTGAGACAGGAGAATCAAGAATTCACTTCCAAGCCTACAGAAATGACTCAGAGGTTAAGAGCACTTGCTGCTCTTCCAGGGGACCAAGACTGGGTTCTAAGCACCCATGTGGCTACTCAAAGCAATCAGTAACTCCAGTCCTAAGGTATCCAAAGACATCTTCTGGCTTCCATAGGTACTGCATGCACATGGTGCATATACATACATATGGGCAAAAAACACATAAACTTAAAATAAAAAATTGTTAAATGTTTTAAAAAATTAAAAATAATATAATTCACTGCCAGCCTGGATTATATAATGAGACTTTACCTCAAACAACAAGAGATTCCCCATAAAGCCCCCCAGAGTCAGCAAGCCTTTTCAAGTAAAGAATAAAGGAGCAGAGACTGAAACAAACCAGCAAAATATTTACATTTCAACCTGTAATCAAAAGTTGTATTTAGACCCTCCAAGACTACAACTGTTCCCTGAGACAGAGCCTGTCAGCACCTGATTGGACTAAGAGAGCCTTTGTCCAGTGACTGATGGAGGCAGATGCAGAGATCCAAAGTTAGGCACTAGGCTAAGCTCTGTGAATCCAATCCATGAGAGAGAGGAGGGATTCTGCAGGCAGGGGACATTGAGATCATGATGGGAAGATGTGCAGAGATGACCAGCCACACTAGTAGAAGTCCATGAACTGTAGACTTGTGGATGTGGAGCCCCCAAGGAACTGGACTAAAATTGTTTGAGGGGCACCCAGGCAGAGGGATTAGGATCTGTCCCTGGTGCATGGGCAGGCTTTTGGGAGCCCAGTGCCTGTGGTGTGACGCCTTGCACAGCCTTGGTGAAGTGGGGAAGGACTTGGACCTGTCTAGGCTCAGTGTGCTGGGCTCTGCTGACTCCCCATGGGAGACCTTGATTTGGGGGATGTGGGGATGTTTAATGGCTTGGGAGGGTGGGCTGGTGGGTGGGAGGAGGAGGGAGGTGAGATCTGTGGGTGGTATGTAGAGTGAGTAGAAAATTTCTTAATAAAGAAAAATGAAAAAAAAGTTATATTTAAAGTTATTTAAAAGTAAAGCTTTAAGATTCACTACATTATAAAAAGCCATAAGTTTGATTCAAAGAAATCAAAGAAAGGCATGAAACTGGATAATTCAAGCTACTAGGACCTCTGAATTTCTTTGGTGTTCAAATCCATTGTCTGTAGTTGAAGTTTTCCAAGTCCTGCTCAGCTCCCGTAGCCCTGAGGCTGCTTGGACCCAAATAAACACACAGAGGCTTCTATTAATTAAAAACTACTTGGCCATTAGCTCAGGCTAACTATTGACTAGCTCTTACACTTAAATTAACCCATAATTCTTACTTATGTCTAGCCACACAGCTTGGTACCTTTTCTTAGTTCTGCCTTCACATCTTGCTTCCTCTGTGTCTGGCTGGCAACTCCTGACTCAGCCTTCCTCTTCTCAGAATTCTCTCTGCTTATCCCGCCTATACTATACTTCCTGCCTGGCTACTGGCCAATCACCATTTTATTTATCAACCAAATCAGAGCAACACACATTCACAGCATACAGAAAGACATCCCCAGCAATTGTCTGTTAATCTGTGCTTCATTTCTGATTTCCTCTAATTTCCATCTTAGGATAAGCATTAATCTTTTCTTCATCTTCCAAATGCATGTTATGTGTCAGAGCTCAGGGTGTCTCAGCCACTCTCCAGATCACCATCAGCACACAACCACATACTCAGTTCTTTTGGCAATTCCTGGTCTTTCTGTGCTGGACAACTGGCAAGAAATGACAAGCCGTTTGTATCCAAGACAAGATGCAAATTAAATCAGCTAGTGGAGAATCTTTGTTTTCCCAAGCTAAACAGTTTTTAGGGAGTCTGGTCAAAATTTTATAATATAAAATTGACACTTGAAAAAGTTTGGACAGGGTATGTTCCTCAATATTATGAAGGTTGTTTTTAGGTTGTCAACAGGGATTGACTGAACTGTGCCTGAAGATTGGGGGAGTCAGTTTCCTGGCACTGCCTGTGAGGGTGTTGCTAGAGTCAGTGAGTGAGAGGCGACAACATTCAACAGTCAGGGGAACTGAATAGAACATCAAATAAAAATGACAGTGTACTCCCTCCATCTCTGCTCCTGAGACACCCTTCTCCCGCCCTTGGATGTCAGAACTTTTGTCCCTTCTTCCTTTGGATGCCAGCCCTTCCAGTTCACATTTTAATTTATTACCCTTACTTCCTTGACTTCAGTATACATGAATTGAGCCTTGCTACCACATCATTCAGGGGTTCCTGTTTCCAGATGTCTTCATGGGGTATTTCTACCTCCACAATCACATGTTTAATTAACTGTCTAATTAAACAACTATTATTTATCTATATATGTATGTATGTATGTATGTATGTATGTATCTATCTATCTATCTGTCTATCATATGTCCATCTCTATCATCTGTTTTCTGTCATCTATCTGCTATCATCTGCTTGATGACCTGTATACTATGAATCTATTGTCTATCACTTATGTAGCTGTCTATTATCCATCATCTACCTATCTCTCTAGGTATTCTTTCTCTGTCTAAGACCCAAACATTAGGATTTAGGATTACAGACAGAATTATCAAACTTGTCTTGGTAAATCAAACCATTGTGAGTGATAAGATAATGATGATAATCCTTGTCTTCTCAACTCCCAGGTACCTTCACGTTTCCAAGAGATTTGAGTGCACTGTTAATCACCAGAGATTTATTGCCACATGACAACAAATCTGACTGTGTAACTGCAATTCTGAGTCTTCATCATCAAGTCACCAAGTTCAACAGATTATTTCCATTCTCATGTGATGATCTTTCACATTTCATACATCAGCTATAGTTCATTTCAAAACTGGTCATAAGTACTTAGCTGAATTTTCATTGAAGCTACTTTTTGACAGCAATGAATGACCAAAACTGCAACAGGGGAAATTAGGCCTTGATGAAAAGCTTGTCAGGCAAAATCTATGACACTTTCAGTTCCACAGAATTGTTAATATTCATATTAGAGCTATTGAGTACTTCAGAGAAAAGTTTGGCTCCCAGGGATATGAAGAAAGGCCTCCTCCGAGTCCTAATCACCATTGGATATTTGAACTTAAGTCCAACCTGAAGTACAGTTGCCTTTCATAAGCAGTTTTGGGAACTGGGCATGGACCCTGGCATATCCTCCCTAGGGCATCGCTTTTCTTGTCTTGTGACACTGTAATGTCTGCCAATCAGTGCTTGGTGCCCTTCTTTCCCCAGTTTTTTGTTGTTTGTTTTTTTCTCATAGACTTAGGCACTTGTAGATGCTCACACCCTTGGTGTGGTTTCCTGGCAGGTCACTTTTAACCTGGAATGTTGATAGAGTATCTTTTCCTGGTCTTGTATTCACTGACTAAGGACAATGTCTGGGTCCTCTGTTTCAATTTCCCCTTTAGTGACTCCCCAGGAACACACACATCAGAAATGAAGGCTAATGGATGTATGAATTCATCTTTTATTTTATTTTCAAGGTAGTGAAATATTCGGAAGATTTTTTTCTTAAACTTAGATTTTGTGCAAATTAGTTTAATGAGTAGTTAAATGGGTTTCTGATATTTTAAATTAAACTGTAACTGTGGAGGTAATTTTTTCTAAAAATCAATGTAGTATAATGTCGTAAAATAATAACTTTGATTTTTCTGATACTTTAGATTATAGTTTTAAAAATGCCTTACACAACTCCCTGAGTTCTTGCGGCTAACAGGCTGGGGTGTGATTTTTCTTCTGATGACTTTAGAAATAACACACACGATGATGATGATATGTGAACTCCCCCAGGAGCAAGACAAGTTTTCATCCTCAGAGGAACAATGTTATTTGGAGCTGAAAATCTCTGCTGTGCCTGGATTCAGTGCATCCTTTTTCTTCCTCTCTTCCTTGAACTTTTTCTACTCCCCTGCTATTCACTTAGGGTGATGCCATCATCCTGGAGCTGGAGGGTTCCCTTCTCCTTATCTCTGTATGTCAGACCTTGGGGACCATGTTACCCCTGGCCTATCATTCCCCTTAGTCCTCTCTGGACACTGGATCCAGGTGATCCTGTTCTCAAGCCATCAGGATACAGCCAAGGACAGAGTCAGTATCCATGAGTAACTCTGTATGGATGCATGAGAACAACCAGTGTCCCAAGTGTGAGGCTTGCTTGCTTTCTGCAACACACAGCCTCTGTCCACAGAAGCAGGTGGGGATGAAGGACTTAAAATTGTTCAAATACTGAGTGCAGTGCTTTGAAATTCTATTGAGCAAACTGTAAGCACATGTAAGCCTACATTAAACCAATGGGAACAAGCCACCTTCATCTCCTGATGGGTTTTTAACTCAATTTTCACACTAGAATATATAATCTTCTATAGGAACAAGGCAGCCTTTCCAGCATAATTTCAAGGTGACTGCATCTTTTATGTAGCATATGTCTAATGCCCTGGGTATAATAACTACCACTGTATAACATGCCTTAAATTTCCATGGGTAATTAATTGATAACAGCTCTGCGGATGTTACATAAACCCTTTATTAAAACATAATCCAATAAAGAGAGATTTAAAATCCAAATTGCTATGAAGGGCAGCCTTTGGGTTTCTCTGTCTCTGATTCGCTTTGTGTTTCTCACTTGGGATCACCAGGTGGTCTGCACATCACCCTCTCCAAGCACGGAGTGGTCAGTCCTAGGGAAAAGAAAGAGACTGGACATCAATCCGAAGTGGAACAATGTCAAATTGAATTGGAAAAGCACAAGCATTTGAGAAGCAGGTCCTGTGGCTAGAGTTAGCCCCTGTGGTTGGGACTCAGAACCTTCTGTGATGGAAAGACAAATGAGCACACTGCACGTCCACACAAGGGGATCGATAGAACCGGAAAAGGAAACTTCGCAAGAAAATCAGGATTAAATGGGAGGTAAGGAATGATGTCTTCAAATACTGGAAATACTCTCCACCCAATGAAGGTTCCTTTCTATTGTTTTGCTAAAGCCCGGCTGTAATTTTGATGTTTCATAAAAATTTAAGTAGAGATTTTCTGTCTCTGGTAGATATAAATCTCCTGGAGGAAAGGCTTTTATATGTAATTCCAATTCTGTGGCAAGAAGAAAACAAAGAACAGGTGAAAATTTTTACTGCAGGTAATTTTGTAAATTATTAAAGAAGAAACCTCCCACCACCAGGCCATAAACATGTTCTCTATCAAAAGCTAAAATAGCAAATCAACAATGCCTTTTGTAGGTATCGTAAGATACGATACTCAAATCCTAAACTGGAAATAAAACTGCCTATAAATATTTACTAGTGAGGTGACTTTGTGGTAATAAATAGCTTTTTCAAGCCAGGGTAGAAAATACCAAAATGCTGAAATGTACCTGATCCTGAATATGTAAAATAAGCTCAATCTTATAAATGCAGCTCACACCCATGGGCATGCTGAGACAGCTGAGAACTGCATTGTTGGGATTTCAAGTTATTTAGGGGCATAAAATAGTTCATTCCAACTCTGCTTTTAAGAAAATAAGGGATTAGACAGATAATGAGTTCATTCACAAAATTTAGGAGATAAATAATATATATTATATACATAATATAAATAATATAATAAATACATATTACTTTCATTCATATATATACATATATATGTGTATACACACACACCACACACACACACACACACACACACACACACATATTACTTTTAAATATGATGTGTGTGCGGCACAAGGAAATTTGGTCCCAGAGCCTGAAACAGTATCTGTGCTTGGCAGTCGCTAATTTCCACCCTTCCAAAGAAAGCAGAAGAAAAGTTGGCATGAAGAAATGTGGCTTGAAAGAAACAGGGAAAAGGCTGGCTGTGTGATTGATTAGTTGGGCCGTGTTCTTATCTTTTGACACAAAAATTCATTGCAGGAGATTGTTTATTTCCCTTGATTTTTAGAGAGCAATAAAAGGAAATGACGTTGGAGGCTCATTTTGTTGCTAGATATAGTTTAATTCTGAGAAAAGTTTCCTTTCGGTCAGGAATCTACAGGCATTTTTTAGCATATGAAGCCATGATGGTGTGCTGATGATAGAAGCCCTTTCATAACTTCCAGGATGGGGACAGAATTCTGAAGAAAGCATTCATTGACAGAAAAAGGCTGAGTGACAGAGCAAAAGACAGTAGCTGAGGCAGGAGGAGAGAGGAGAGCAGGGAAAGAAGCAGGGGAAGCAGCCATGGTGCTGGACGGGAAATGCAGTCTTTCTGTGAGGTACCAAAGGATTATGGGTGTTTTTCAAGGTTAATTTAAGTCTTTGCCAAGGCAACAGAAGTTTAATGTGATCAGTGGCCTGACTCCCATTTTTGGTTATCAGATGATTATGAATATATTTTATGGGTAATTTGTTACGTCCGTCTGTAGCTCGCCATTCTTCATCTGTCCAGCAGCGGAGATTCACAAAGAGTAGAAATGACAAAGAGCTCATTCTGTATGCCCTGCCGCACAGCCCAGAACCAAGCGTATTGCCCTAGCCTAGTCCACCTACAAGTGCAGTGGTTGGCAGTACTCCCTGTGAAACCTGTTGAAGACCTGGCCCCTGGGAGACCCACTGGGGGCTGGCAGTCAGGACAGTTGAAGAGCATGTTACAGCTGCTTCTAGAAGTGACCAGAAATGGGTTCCAGCTCTTGCCAGTCTGTCGGGGACCTCATCCAGTCTCCAGTTATGTTCAGGGTATGGCGATCAGGGAATGTTACCCTCATTCTCCCTCACCATCACCTGCCAGTGTTCAGGTCCTGGGGAAGAAAAGGAAGTCCAGTGAGCTACCCCAGATGACACGCGGATCCAGATAGGGAACACAGCTTAGGAGTAGCTGGGAAGTGTGGCGAGCCTAGAAAGAGAAGTGCTGATCAGTTGCAAGTGTCTCCCCCAGTACTGCCATATGTCTTGATAACCACCACGGTGACTGGCATTAAGACCAGGGAGCCCTACACTGCTCACACAGTGAGTGCACACCTTCTTTATGAGAAGGTCAAACTGTCTGTTTTTTACAATTGGAGTAAGTGGGTGGAAGGAACATAAGAAAGCTCTTAAATGTCTGTCTCCCTTAAATTAGTGGATATTCGTAGAAGAGGGAGATGTGTATGAGAAAAAAATAAAATTTGTCCCACAGTAGCACTTGTCTGAGTGTGGAATTCAGAATTATTAGTGTGGCAAAAAGAACGAGCCAATTGCCCTCCTTACCTTGGAGAAATATAGACATCTCTGCCTTCTCCAGGCTTCCTTTGCAGGATGGACTTCTTGACTCCCTAAGACAGTGACTGTGTTGCAGGAACATTTTCATTTTGACTGGGGAGAAGACAGTCTCTTGCAAATGCGAGGACCTGAGCTTGGATCCTAGAACTCACATTTCAAAAGCCAGGAGTGCTGGTGCATATTTGAATGCACAAATGTGTGAATTTATGTTAGTGTGGCAGAGACAGAAACCCAAGGTCACTGAAAGAATCTATAAACAGATAATTATCCTTTTCTGGAATCTCCCATGCTTCCTTCTTCCCACTTACCACAGGAGTGATTTCCTGTGATTGTGAGTAGTATTTATTTAAGTATACAAATCTCAGTGCTAGGGAGGCAGAAACAGGCAATTTTCTGGGGTTCCAAGGCCAGCCAGCCTAGCCTAATTGGTGAGTTTCAGGCCAATGAGAAACCCTGTCTCAACAATAAGGTGGATGATGTCTCAGAAACGACACCCGAGGTTGATCTCACCTACACACACACACACACACACACACACACACACACACACACACACACACACACACAGAGAGAGAGAGACAGAGACAGAGACAGAGAGAGGAATGTGTAGACACAGACATGAAAAGAAGTATTTGTATTCCCAGTAAATGATGGGGAACACATACAACATTTAATAAAGTAAGTGAATGCATGAATAAGTGAATGAAAATACTGCAAAGAGCTTAGATTTACATACTGTTAGGTTTGTGTGTGAAATTTATCACACACTATGCACGTGACTTCAGTCATTTGTGAAATGCATCTAATAATATCTGCTTTTTTAGGGTCTTGTAAAGCTTAACTAAAATAAATATATCAAGAACCTAGCACATAATAAACAGAAATATAGTTCCTTCCTTCCCCATGAATGGACCAATGTGTGAATTTGTGTTAGTGTGGCAGAGACAAAAATCCAAGGTCACTGGAAGAATCTCTGAACAGATACCTCAGCCTTTTCCAAAATCTCCCAGGCTCCCTTCCTCCCACCTACCACAAGAGTGATTTCCTATGATGTGGGCAGTATTTATGTAATTAGATAAACTCTAGATGGATACTTACTTTTCTGTAGTATTTGAAGTAGTTTGGGATGGAATTTTAAACCAGTCTCTGATGAACTGATAATTTAGCTATTTCCATTCATTTATATCAAAATAATTAATGATTTTAATTTTATGAGAGGAATACATTTTTATGGTTTTAAAATATTTTCTGCAGCCTATTCTATCATGTGTGGATTCTAGAAATGTCCATTACTTGACTGGCTATACTTAGGTTATAAGAAGAAATTATGTGTGTTATAGATGAAGCTAGGAAAGGAGTATTTTAAAAGGAACAATAAAAAAAAGAAACTGATTTTAAAATGTTTCATTGAAGAACTAAAACATGCGAACTATCTGAGAGATTTAATGGCTCATCTCATAGCTACTGAGCAGAAGGAAATCATCTATTCCTATGTGGCCCTGAACACAGAGGAGGAGAGAGACAAAGCTTTGCAACATTTCAAGCATCCTTAGTTTGTGTTTCAGAAGGCAGAAACGACATTCTGTATTGTTTGCCCAAAGTGGGAAATGTGGGGAAATGAACATTTGAATAATGATAATTAATATTAAACTCTTACACTTACAAAGCATCTTTCAACCTAGCATCCTTAGGAGTTTAGTATTTTCCCTGAAGGCTTTGTTCAATGCTCCTCCCATGCAGCTAACTTAGAGCACACTGGCATGGTGAATGAAAGGTATGGTACCACTCACCAGTGAAAGGTTGAGTCAGTGCAACGAGACCAAATATGTGGCTCATTCTAGTAAACTATGGGCTTTTGCCACTTTTAAAAAACACCATTTTTAGGATCTAATGAGTGAAACCCTTTAACTTATTCTCACGGTCATCATGTAGTAAGTTGGACCGACCTTTTCTGTTGCTGTGGTGGGTCAAATTAATTCTTCGTTGTTATGCACAATCTCGGCCTTCTCTTTGTTGGCCTGCTGGGACATATATTAATCATTTTTAATAGCCCATGAGGCATAGTTGTATCCTGTGACAACCAGGTCTCCATTAATTTCCAAATCTTTAGTTTTATGCAGTATGTCCAATAATACATTTCTATATCTGCTATGGAAAGAGGGAGTTGGAGACAACTGGTCAAAACAGCAGTTTGTAAGTCTTCTGTAGGTGAGATGCCTTTGTGTGTTGGAGGAGGTGGGGTGGAGGGCAATGCCCTAAAGTATTTGAGTTAACAATACAGAATATAATATGATCACATCGCAAGAAAATACCAGTAGATTATTCAAAGCATAGCTGACAGTCCAACAACTATGTAACAGATACGATATATGAACAGGTATGCATACATCACATGTCTGATTCGTTCACCAAAACCTGCTTTCAATAAATAGTGGTCTTGCTACATCTAGACATCTCCCTTTCTCTGAAACTTGATGCCTGGCATGAATAATGGTTAATATTTACAAATGGGATATGGTACATATTAACTTTGGGAATGGGAGTAACAGTTTGATTCTTTGGAAACTGACATTTATTAAACATCGCCATACCTGGCAGATGATCTTAGGTAACGGTCACAATGAGAGGTAAGGATTATTTTCAAATTCTTAGATAAGAAACCTGAACTTCTCAGCAGCAAAGGATCTGACTGACTGAATTATGAGCCCAGGGTTATCCAGTTAATAGAGTGAAGACAAGCTGAAATTTTATTTTTCAGTCAAGGAATTTCCTAAAAGAAATATAATCTAAAGGAAATAAAATTTAAAGTGTATTAAAAATGCATGCATGATACATTTATCAAAATACCTTTGATTGCAGATTTGCCTTCCAACAACAATCCTGTAATCCCAAACTGTTAAGGATTATGTTTATCTAATTTTCAATGTGTCCTCTGTGCCTCACCGCATCTGACACTGATCAGGTAAATAAATACATGCAGAGCAAGTGCAGGAAGGAAGCAAAACCATCTTTCATGGGCACACTTGCCACCTCACACATGACGTCACATCTAGATGGTTTATAGGTTGAGTCATGCCTTGATGCTATTCTCTAGGGAGAAATAAAGCCATTTATTAGGATAGGAATACCAGAACAAATCAATCTTCATAAATTATGTGAAATATCATTGCTTTCTTGAGAAGACTGAGCAAGTTTCTGATGGATTGCACACTTGTACAGTTTTGATTTCATGAATTCAGTAGATATTGCCTTGTTAAATAACATAAAGATGAACAAGATACTGGTTTTTCTTCAGTAACGGGGTGACATCATGGAAAGCAATTGAGTGTTGAGATCAGAAACCAGCATGGTGGGCTGGAGAGATGGCTCAGAGGTTAAGAGCACTGCTTGCTCTTCCAAAGGTCCTGAGTTCAATTCCCAGCAACCACATGGTGGCTCACAACCATCTGTAATGAGATCTGGTGCCCTCTTCTGGCCTGCAGGGATATGTGCAGACAGAACACTGTATACTAAATAAATAAATCTTTAAAAAAAAAAAAAAAAAAAAAAGAAACCAGCATGGTGAATCCATGGCCATCCCCTGTTTTCTACTCAGTCATCTTGTTTCACATTTTATCTGGCTAGTTCTCTGTTTTCATGTTTTAGATGTAACTCTTCCTTGTAAGTGGATTGTATAGTACTGACATTTTTCTCTTCTGTGAGAGTTTGTCTAATTAATGTTGGGTTGTTTGAATTGTTCTTCCATGTCTGAGCTTTCCATTTCTCTTCTCTTTTGAGTTGGATGAATCTCCGACCCCTCCTTCCACTCCCCTTTCTACCTTCTTTGGAAATTGTATGCTTTATAACTCTAATAATTCCACGATTTCATAAATATTTTAACATGCACACTTAACTAAATCTAAAGTTTTTCATATTTTGCTCATTGCTCATGCAGTAAAAGGGCTTTAGAGAGCTTAAACTCTTATCAGTTCCTCAACTTTGATGGTTCCTTTTACATGTTTTGAGTAGACTCCTGGGGTACCACAGTCAAAACACTGTTTCTGAGTGTATCTTTGAGGGTGTTTCTGGACAGCTGCAGTTTTTGAACAGATGGACTCAATAAAGTAGGTTGCCCTCTGCCCTAGTGTGGCTGGGCATCATCCTATCCAACGAGGCCTTAACAGAATCAAGGAGGAGAAACAAAACCCATTTCTGCTTCCTGTCTCCCCACTTGAGCCAGGATACCTCATCTTTTCATTTCCCTCTGAACAGTAGTCTGCATCGTCCATTGGCTTCTTTGATTCTTGGGTCCTTGAGTCAGACTGAGTCATACAAGTGTTTAGGAAATGACACATCATCACATTTCTCAGCCTCAATAACCATGCAAGCTAATCTCACATGTTCCATATTATTTATGAATATAATATAGTAAATATAATTACTATAATACAATATAAGAAAGATTCTATTTCTCAAAAGAGTCCTGATCAATACACCAACTTATCTCCTTTTGTTTTAGAATATTTAATACCTTGTTTATTCTTCGATGCCCTTATCTTCAGTTAATCAATTACCCATTATCATGAATTATAAGTATTGCATTATTCTGAGCACCAAGAAACAGAACCTGAAGAAAAGTTTACAAGCAAGAAGTTTACCTATCTGAAGAAAGGTGAGGTAAAGTAGAGAAGATGGATAAGCACTATCGGTTCTCCTCAGGTTCAGAGTACAACCTGTTAGCACCTTAGTTTAAGCCTCATCAAAGGATTTCCAGACTGAGGCGTTATTTACTGTTTTCCCATGATCACTTCCCCAAAACTCCTATTCTTTCTTGGGGACATTGACTACTTTGTACTCTGTACTTAAGGGTTGAGTAAGTGTCACATCCTTCAGGTAGGAAGGTGTAATGTTGTCAGGTGGCCACTGTGTGACTTGGTGAAGTTGATTGATTTGACATCTTGTGTAAGGACAGCCACAGCTGTGCCTGGATTCACAGCCCTGGTCAAGAGGAGTTGAAGAGACACACAAGAAATGCCTAACAAGGGCCTGGAGATGTAGTACAGTGTCCTGGTAATCATCTAGCATGCATGTGGTCCTCAGTTCCACATTTAATCTAACAAAAAGGGGAAATGAAAACGTGCTCACTTCAGGTAGGAGGGAAACTCATTTGGTAATGCACCATCTCTCAGCTGTGAGATGAGTTCAGATTCTCAGCATCCATGTAAAGAAAGGATAGGTATGGAGGCAGATTTGTAATCCTAGAAATAGACAGGATTCAGGGGAAGAGCACATGAATAGAGCTTGCTAGCTAGCCAGCTCCAAACAGTGAAAACTGGCAGGCACCTGCGACATTGCACCTGAGGTTCTGAAGTACACAAATGCAAACACATCTACACCCCCACATGTGCACCTCCCAAAATAACACTCCCACTTATCACACACATAAACACACATATGCATGTATACACACACACACACACACACACACACACACACACACCCTACAGGACTCAATTCAATGTTAGTCTGCAGTTGACAATTTTATGCCATCAGTACTTACATATTTAACAATAGGTGTTCTCAGTTTGTTCTTGACTATTGGATTATTTTCTTCTAAATTTTCCACAGTTGATGAGCAGTGATACTCAGATGGATGAACCATGCTAATCAGATGCAGGGAGTCCAGACACACTTTCAGGAAGAATTTATGGAGATGACAGAGTATTTGCCAAGATACTGTATCATTTCCTTCAGTGAAGATGCACATTAGGCCAAAAACCTCAGTGTTTTTTCAGAGAGCATAACTGTCTTCCCAAACCCAGTTCTTCAAAGTTTGTTTCTTTGTCTCAAGGATATAAAATTTTACACAGCAAGTTATTTTCTCTAAAGATGTGAAACATTGTTTCTCTGTTTCTTGCTTCTGGTTAGTGATATAGAGACATCAACCATCATTTTAATCATCTTTATTCTTTGTAAATGAATCTTCACTTTTCTTTGGCTGTCTTCAAGCTATTCAAACTCCTTAAAAAAATCTCTGTACCTTCTAGTTTCATTTTCAGTTCTCTAGGTGTGCCTTCTTTATAATTACGTCTTTGAAGAATTTTGGAGGCTTTTCATATCTGATTATTGGTATAGCTTCATTGATTCTGAAGTATCCCATCTTTTGTGTGTTTACTGACTCTTTTCTGTTTTCTTATTTTAACCCATTCACAACTTCTGATGAGAAGTTTAGCTTTCAGCTTGACACAGCCTAGCCTGATCTTAGAGGAAAGCTTCATTGATGAACTGTCTAAGTCAAACTGGCTGATAAGCATGCCTGTAAGAGATTGTCTTGATTGTTAATTGGTATAGGAGAGTTAAGCCCATTGTGAGTGGTCACCACTCCCTAGGTAGGTGATTCTAGGCTGGATAAGCTCGAGCCTATGAGCAAGCCATCAACCAGTGTCCCTCCATGGATGCTGCTTCAAGTTCCTGTCTTGACTTCCCTTAAAGATGACTATGACCTGGAAATATGAGCCAAACAAATCCTTTCCTTGTGTAAGTTTCTTTTGGCCAAGTATTTTGTCAGAACAATAGAATGAAATGAGAACAGTTTGTCTCAGTTTTATTTCTGAGTATATTTTCTACATCACGTCGCCTTTAAGGGCATGCCATAGTTTTTAAAAATTTAACTTCTCACTCACTAATTTATTTTCTCAGCAATATTATCCATTCTATTGATTCTTTTTAACTTAAATAATTGTATTTTTCAATTTATATGAGTTCTAGTTTGGTTCTTTTTGCAATATGTTTGTTCGTTCTTGTACCTGAGTGATTACAATGATTTTATTTTCATGCTTTTGAAATTTACACAGATCGATGTTGTTCACTTCACATTCTGTGTATGGCTGTGAGCTTATGAGGTTCTTTTGGGTATATTTTATTTATGTTGTTTTGCCTGATTCTCATTCATAGTATCTTCTCTTTTGATGTATTTTGTGATTTTTTTCCACAGTGGGTGGCATATTTTCCTTATACATTCCATAATATTATCTAGGAACAGACTTAAATTTTAATTCCTATAAAGAAGACTCCTATTTCTTCCGGCACTTACCCTTGACACCACTGACACTGAAACATTATATTCAATGAAATTACCTGCTTTTGAACTTTATATCATATAAAAAACACATATTTAGTCACTCAACTGTCTACGGGCCAGTTGTATTTACTGTCTGGAGGTATTTCTTCTCTCATTAATCTAGAATCAAGATTATGTCTTAAAACATCATTACTGATCATGACTATCATACAGAATGTTTTATTTCTTGGTTTGTCCTAAGGTGGAGTTTTTTCGTATTCATCCAACATAAGTATCTTCTACTAGGCACTATACTTGGGACAACCTTAGATTGAATCAACTGTCCAATAACTCTACTATATCTGTCAAGATGGAACCTAAGACTTCCAAGTTCAACAAAACCTCTCAAGGCAAAAGCCAAGTTTGGATCAAACTTTGCTCGAGGGTCCTATTAGTTTGCTTTTATTTCTATAGACTCCTTAATGCCGTGCTTATACAAAAAAATGTTTAAAATGCTTTCATATTTTATCTAATATCAGGATGACTTAAGTATAGAAAAATATAAGATATATAGGAATCATAACATTTAAATCACTTCTTCCCTCTCATTTTTTTCTGCAAAATTGTCTTTAATTATTTTAATAAACTCTGCTCACTCTAGTACCTTCATTCACTTCTTTATAGATTTCTTCTCTTCCACAGATTAGTCTCTCCTCCTCCTTCTAGTTCCTGCTTTTACTATGTTTTTTCTTTGGGTAAAACAGAACAAAAGTGGAGAGAACAGAATATCAACAGCTTGCACTTGGCAATTGATTTATTAATTTTAATGTAGTTTTAACCTTTTAGCCACTTAGCTTTTATGTATCATTTTCTGTTACATAAAAAATAGGACTTTTCTCCCCTTTTGTTTGCTGACATTTGAAATCTTTTTAATAGGGGACAAATTGCTTTTGGGCATAAATACAACTGAATCTCATTTTCTACAAGTCTATGCTGATGGCAAAGGTAATTTAATATTCTAGCTGTAATAATAGCTGCCTTCCATTGAACATCTGGTATTTACCAGGAAACATGTTATCTGCTTTTCCTTCATGATTTCAAATCTTCACAGCTACCAGGTAAATACTGTTGCTCTTACTTTTATTCTTTTCAGTGAGGAAAAGTAAAGTTCCAAAGGAGGGGCAATTTGAGCTTACACAGTGAGTTAGAGTCTTATGGACTGGTCCCCCAGTCAGTCTTCTTTTTCCACTCTTTCATTTCAGTAGGTAAGACTGCAAATCAGAGTATAAATTTCTCTCCTTGAAGAACTTCTGATGCCTATGGGGAGGATATGACACATAGTTCTAGCTGTGCTTCTTGGAGATTCACTTCTGGTTCCCAGGTGGGGTGGATGTCTTGAAATGGGAACACTGGGACACATATTTTTGTTTACTATACATGTTTCTTCTAATACCCAGAGTCTAATCAATTCTATTTTCAGACTTCCCAATCCAAATTCTACCTGTCTTTCTCAAAGACTCTGAATCATCATTTTGTTTTCTAAGACATTTGCTGTAATTTCAATTTGGGTTGATGACATACATGATCAGACAGTAATTAGATACTTCACTGACATTCTAGAATATAGTCCCAATGCCTCATCTATTTTGAGTTCTAGCAATAAAATATTGGACTATAAAGTGTGCAGCTTGGGCATAGTCTTCTCATTAGTGGAGATATTGCACAATTTCCCTCACAAAATCTGTTTTGGATGGAAGCCAAGATGCTTCAGTCTTCTGCTAAAATCCACATGTTCAGTTCTGAGTAGGTCTGAAGCACTGTTTTTTTAAGCTTAATCTTTGACTGGGATTCCTTTTTCACCCTCCAGGGGAGTGCAGGGGAGGATGCAGTCTCAAAATCCCTAGGTGAGCAGGGTGTTAAATAGGTACATGGGAATGCCAATGAAATGTTTTGAATTCCTAAAACAAACTATTATTAGTGAAGCTACTGTAATTATAAAAGAGTTTATTGTGTTTTATAAAGAACAACTTTAAATAAAGACTAGAAATTGTGTCTAGCATGCAGTTTGCATAAACATAGTCTTAAAAGCTTTGAGTAGCAACATCTGTACATATAAAGCACTGTAAAGTCTCAGTGCCTGTTCTGTAAACCTGTTTAATAATATGTAAGTTGCTTGCCTAGTTTAGCTATTTCCTGTGTTCCAAGCCATAGCTGTACCTAAACGAGAGTTATAGAAGAACATAAGACAGGAAAGGGGACTTGAACCATGGGTGTGGCTCAGTGGTGGAGTACCTGGCTACCATGCAAAAGCCTGGATTTGACACCTGGAACTGCAAAAAGTAGAGAGCTCAGTCCAGTTGTGTTCTTAACAATCCCAGACAGGAGAAACACCAGTATTGCTTCCAGTAGAAGAAATGGCCTCCCAAAACACTAAATTTGGTGCTGCTGGTGTTTTGGTAGCTCAGATGTATGCTAGTCATTCATTACAGAATAATTAATGGTGTGTGTGCTCTGGATTGAGACCTGCAAAGATAGGCCCAGATGCCACCTTCAGAGAAATCTGACCATAAACCACAGAAAAGTGGAGGCAAGAGCCATGTGGTGGTGGTGCATGCCTTTAATCCCAGCACTCAGGAAGCAGAACCAGGCGGATCTCTGTGAGTTTGAGGCCAGCCTGGGCTACAGAGTGAGTTCCAGGAAAGGTACCAATGCTACACACAAAAACCCTGTCTCGAAAAACAAAAAAGGTGGGGTTTGGGGGAGGCAAGTGCCTCACAAAGCTGGGTGCTTTCCTGAGAAGGAGATAGGGACAGCTCCTTTTAGGAGAACTGGGGAAAGATAATTCAGTGACTATGAGTAAATACTGCAGTGCAGCCGAAACGAAGTTCACTGCTTTTTGGATATTGTTTGAATTTGGTACTTATCTTAGCACGAAAGCCATGGTTAATTGTCTTTAGCTTCAGTCTAGTTTGATCCTGTTGCCCTTTCCCTTCGGCCCAGCCTTTCAAAGCAGAGCTCCATCTGCTTAAAGAAGTGAGGGGTCCAGGACACCAGGAGAACACTACCTACAGAATCAACTAAGCAGGCCTGGCTCATAGGGGCTCACAGAGACTGAAGCGGTCTGTACCAGGTCCTCTGAACAGATGTATGGCTGTTCGCTTGGTGGGTTTTTTGTGGGGGGGGGGACTTCTAACAGTGGGAGTGGGGTGTCTCTGACACTTTTGCCTGCTCTTTGGACCCTTTTTCCTCCTATTGGGCTGCCTCACCCAGCCCTGATATGAATGTTTGTGCCTAGTCTTACTGTATCTTGTTATGCCATGTTTGGTGGATATCCCTGGGAGGCCTGCTCTTTTCTGATGGGAAATGGAGGAGGAGTGGATCTGAGGGAGAGGGAGGGGGAACTGGGAGTGGAGGGGGAGGAAACTGCAGCAGGGATATATTGAAAGCCATAAATAAATGGATGGACAAAAAAAAAAAAAGAAAACATATTTATATCTGAAATAAGATTGAAAAAAAAAAGCGAAATGTGATACTACTGACTCAGCAATCCAGCTGCCAGACCAAGGATCCCCAGGATTTGATTTTGGTTCATTATTGGTTATGCTTTGTTTTGTTTCCATGAGGTGGTGCCTTTCACTAATGCAGCATATCCACCTCCAAGGAGCACTGAGGCCTGTAACAAGTGCTCTTCCTTTCCAATCCCCCTCTCAGCTCCATTCAGTTGAGGTACCTTGAAGCCCTCTTGCACAACCACACTTAACTCGAGTAAATTGGTTACTTTCCTCCATTCAAGTGTCTGGCAGGACATACACGAAGCTGGACCTTATGGAAGCCTGTTAAAACGCCTTCTGTAGTGTGAGGCTATTTCAAAGAGGAACTGAAGCCTCTACTTGGAGCACGTTCTCAAGAGAATGTGCTTTTGTGGCCCAGGTGCTTGCTGTCGCTGTCCTTGCAAAGAGGAAGACCACCGGGCTCTTTGTGGCCTGAGAGCTGCACTTCCTCCCTCTTGTCTCCTGGCTACTGACAAGCCTTAGACTAAATGGGCACAGCACCTTATATTTCTGGCTGGGGTAGATATGGAACAGGAAAGGGCATTCCAGGACTCAAGTGAAAGTCCATTGATATTTATTTTCGGAGCATTCTTAAGACAGCCCATGGCTCGCCTCCAGAGTCCATCCGGGTGTCTCCTTTCAGCTAGCGCTTCCTGATTTTTGATGTGGTATTGAGACACAAGCTTTGATGCTCCAAGCTGCTGGCTGTGGAGGAAGCTAAGTGTTTATGGCTTATCGGGTGATGTGTAGAACATACCAAGTCCAGAAACTTTTCACAGAGGATGCACTAGGGATTCCACAGGCTGTGTAACAGCAGAGGACAGGCTGATCTGCTGCAGGAAGAATCCAGGAGTGGGCCCAATTCCATGTGTCTGCACAACATGCTTGGGGACTCAGTAGGCTAGACGTCCAAGACACAGGTGTCTTCAGGGCTTGGCCCCTCTGAATGAACCACACTTGAGAAAGCACCCTTGCTTTTCCCAGGTTCTGGTGGTTTTCTGGGGACTCTGGCATTCCTGGGCTTATAAATGTGACTTTCTAGCCCTCCATCTTCATATGGCTTTTTTCCTATGTGACTTCATGTGGTCTTTTCTCTGTGGAGATATTGGTGGCGACACTGGTCACACTGGATGAACTCCCACTCTAATAACTTCATTTGAATCTGATTAGTTCTATTAAGGCCTTATTACCCAAATTAGACCCAATTCTGCTGTACTGAAGGCTGGAGTTTGACCTTATTTTGGGATGGCTCAGTTTAAACCGTAACAACCTACTAGTATGATTGCTGAGTGTTTGGTTTCTAAGCTGCTTTGGTTCTTCCTATGCTAGCTGAATAACTTTCCTGTGATTATTTTTTAAGTCTTGGGTACTGACCAATTTGGTATAACTTTCTATATCCCATTTTCTGCTTACTTGTGGCCAATCACAAATGGTAGCATTTTTAGTGCAAAGGCCTGTAATTTGTATTGTTAATAATTATCATGATACCTAGAATACAGGGAGTCCTGGCTGAATTCATATCAACAGGAGACAAGGTGAGAAAGAAAATTCTCTACCCATGATTTGAAAATGCTTAGCAATTATAGTGATATTGTATTTAAAATAAGAAAACAGCCCGTTGGTTTATAAAAGAGATGATTTGGTATGTAGGTGGCCAAATGGTACACTTGGTTTTGCCAAAGAGATTTTACAAGGAGTCAGAAAAAAAATCTGAGAAGTGATAGACTTAATTCAAGCCTTTGCAAGTCTCATTTATTGAAGATTTGTACATCAGACAGGGCTGTGGGACAAATGTCTTTTGGATAATGGGGCAGAGGGTCATCAGAGCCTGGGGAAGCTAGCCCTAAAAGTAGACTTTTACTCCTGAGTTGCCCTTTCACTCCAATATTCATCATGAGCATCAGAAATTTTTTTGAGACAGGATTTTACTAGGCAGCTTTATCTCTCCTAGAACATTCAATTCTCCTATCTCAGCTTCAAGATTGCTAGAATTATGGGCATGTGTCACCACACCTGGCTAATCAACCAATACTTGCTTTCTGATGCTCTTCTTAGTTAGCATTAGGATACAAAGGAGATTGCTAATGGATAAACATATGAGGTATAATGAGAACCAATTTTAATGATAAACACTCCAAGACATTTTCATGAAAACATTTACTTGTTTTAAATACTGTGAACATTATAGACAGGCCAAATGATCATTTTAGTTAAAACGAAGGAAAAGATAAGCAAATTTGAATGAGTAGATTAAACTTCATTAGGTTAGAAGCCAATGTCATTTTATACGCTAAATTGAGGCAGAGGCATAAAAGTGAAATCACTTTAAAAAAGAAATTATGGAGGTGAGCACAGTGACGACCATGGGAAGTGACTCATCCTTAAGAAGATGAGAAAGAAGATCAAGTTTGAGCCAGCCTGGACTACATGGCCAGACCCTGTCTCAAAAACAAACAAGCAAGAAAGGAAACTGAGTCAACCCAGCCTTTTCCTTTCTCCTTGAAGCATGTTGTTTCATTCTATAAACAGTGAAATGGAAAGATGATCCTTGGAGAGAGGTTGGCTGTAGACCAAACTAGCAGAAGTCTCCTTAAACTCTGGTTTAAGGATCTAGCATTGACTTTACCACTCCCTGAAGGAGTGACAGAGAGAATGAAAACAGAAAAGAGGGTCTGTTATCCACTGTGGTTTCTGAAGCAAGTGGGAGGAGAACCTCTGAGCACCTGTCTGTAGAGCAGATGCTGGCCATCTTATTGGGAGGGATACTGCTGGCAAATTGTGCCTGTGAACAATTTGTGTTCAATTATAAAACTAAAGTTTGGCAGTTTGGAGAACAGGGGTGGGACAGACCTGACTAAGATTACAGAAATGTCCACTGAGTCTCCATTTCCCCTCCTTGACACCTTACAGCTGACAGAAGGAGGGTCAGTAAAAGCCAATACTGGAAGCAGACGTGTATCTACACAGATATACATGTGTATATCAGACCAGCTTATGGGAAGGGTCTTTTTGGAACATTCAGCCTAGAGAACATAGATTCAGTCTTCTAGGTGAAACTAAGTCTACTTAATGGATTGATCTATTGGCCAATACTATTTTGTCGAGTGTTAAGTGGTGGGAAGTGATTCACAAAAGGGGAGAATAGGCAAGTATGAAACACTATCCACCTGCTATCAGATCCATATCAGTCATGAGGCCATCTGTAAACAAACAGAAGCAACACAGAACAAAACCTGGAAGATGACACAGGAAAGATAAATCCCACAGCAAGCAATGAGAGCAGCAACTAACATTTTACTGGGCTACGAACGGGATAATAGAATTAACAGGTAAGTACATTATGGAAAACATGAGACTTGAAAGGAAGAAGTATAAGGTTGAGGTTGAATTTGGCAGAGGAAGGATGGCCCAGAAAGAGCACTTTGTTGCTTGGTTCTTCCCTGTCAACCTACACATTTCTCCATGTATACACTCTAAGCCCTGTGTATTTCTTTACTAATGAGTTTATTGCATGGAAGAGGCTCACAGCAGCAACCATAAAGATATGCTGATGGATCTTACTTCAGGAAAAGACTTCCCATGCCAATTCTTTAAAAACAGGACTGTTATACAGTCCAGCTATTCCACTCCTGGGTATGTAACCAAAGGACTCTGATTCAAATTCCATAGAGATACTTTCACATCCACATTTACTGCTGCACTATTCACAATAGCTTATAGAACTAATCTAGATGACCATTGGCAGGTGAATGGATAATGATAATATAGCACATATTTGTAATTTTGGAAATTTATTCAGTCATGAACAAAGTTATGTCAACTGCTGGAAGTTGGATGCATCTAGAAATATTGTATTAAGTGAAATAAGCCAGAACCAGACAGAAAAGTGTCACATATCTCTCATTTGTGGTGTCTATATTTTATATAAATGCATAAAATCACACACACACATATCTTGTATGACATGAGGGCAGGAGTCTGACAGTCTGGAGAGGGGAGAGGGCTAGAAGGATGGAGAAGAGGGAGAAAGGGGAGGGTATGGGAATGAATATGGTTAAACGTATATAACCTTGTCTTTATGAAACCCATCACTATGTACAATGACTATATTCCAAGAAAGAAAGAAGAGGAATGATAGAAGAAAAAAGGAAAAAGAAAAAAAGAAAAGAAAGTCTCATTCAACTTTGTGGATAGAATGGAGTCTCAAGGTAGGGCATTGTAGAGAGCTACTTCAGCCTTGTGCCTGCCATACCATGACCTTCCCAGCAAACCCAAACAGTAACAGAGTGTGGTGGGAACTGAGAGGGAGCATATCTGCCATCTTTGTGCTGAGGTCCCCATTGAGTTGGATGACTGTTCCTCAGCTCTATGCTGTGGGCTACCTCCCTCTCTCCTCAGTCTTTCTCCCCGACTTCCTTTTTCCCAGGTAGACCCATCTTCAAAGGTAGCTCTCACACTCTTCCCTTAGTGCCAATGTCTGCTTCCAGGAGGATCAGTCGGCCTCCTTTCAAAGGATTATAGGATTAAATATGGAATTAAGTACAGGGTAAACTCACTAGACCATTCTGTGATGTTTACTTCCAAATTGGGCCTTTCTCATTCTACAAACATCTTGAATTCTAATAAGAGTTTTGGGCTCTGAGGTGTTAGAAGTTCAAGGATGAATAAGGCTGAGCCTCACCTTCCTTGACACACACACACACACACACACACACACACACACACACACACACACACACATACACACACATGCCCGCTTAGTTTGAAACTGAAATGTGAGAGCTAAGCCATGTGTTCAAGGCTGCTCTCCCTGGTGACTGGAGTCTCTTACTTCGAGCTCTAAATCAAAAAAGATTGTAATCTTTCTACATCACTTTTCTGCACTATAACATTTATAGTAAAGCCCATGGCATTAAATGCACCAGTGTTCGCTCTACTCCATTCAGGCTCTTCAAGTTCCTGTAGGGAGTTCTTTAGAACACTAATCCCTAAGGGTGCTTCATGTTAAATATATTAAAACAGGTTTCTCTGCTGGGGTTCAGAGGAGACTTTTATACGCTAAAGTACACTGTGCATTTGCAAGCACAGGTCTGAGGTGTTAACATTTCCAAGCTTACCTGGCTTGGGAATTGCTCTACAGAACACCTTGCAGAGATGCTATTCTACCCAGTAATATCATAGAATGACAGACCCTTTATTATAGCATCCAGGCAACACTTTCTGCTGGTCGCTGGCATTCTGAAGAGGCATTGTAGGGACCTGTTTTTTCATATCAAGAATCTTATGCATAGGAACTTAAGTCTGTTCTTTTAGATTATTAAGCTGGGCAGTGGAGCCTTGCCAAGTTCCATGACCTGCACCCTTCCAGTGACTGTAGAATGTAGAGACCTATGAGCCACTCCTTAAGCAGCTAGGGATAAATGAACATGTGTATGAAAGAATGAAAAGTATTTTGTGGAGCTGGAGAGATGGCTCAGTGGTTAAGAGCACTGGTTGTTCTTCCAGAGGACCTGGGTTCAATTCCCAGCAACCACATGGCAGCTCAAAACTGTCTGTAGTTTTAGTTCCAGGGAATCTGACATGCTTACACCAATGCATATAAAATAAAAAGAAATAAATCATTTAAAAAATGAAAAAAGGTAACTATTTTGCTAGTCTTCTGGTGCTATGTGGAATTAATGGAGAGGTATGTACAAAGGTGGACAAACAAGTAGGTCTGTTTTTGGTGATGTTCAGGGGGAGGGTGTTAGTACTATGTTGCAAACTTCCAGCTCATTCTGAAAGTAGTGATTTACTCACTGAGAATCTTGATGGTTACAAGGGAGCACGTATTTCAAGCCTTACACAAGTAGCAGGCAAAGTAGGAATATTTTGCAATGGGGATGTGGCTTTTGGACGCTCTTGGCAGTTAATGTAGATCCCTCACCTGCAGAATGCACTCAACTTTTGATCATTCTGCGTTGACTGCAGGTACCGTGGTACCATGTCATCTTCTGCTTCATGGGTTTGTTGGCTAGCAGCCTGCCTTTTCTTTTGTAGTCTCAATACTTTGCTGGTGATTTGGGTCTTTGAGGAAGCAGACAATGAGGGTTTA